CCTCCCGTCCTCTCCCCTCTTTGCAGGGCTCCCTTCATCACCACCTACCCTCACATCCTGGGGACCTCAGTGCCAAGGCACCTCTTCCTCTGCCTGGGACCCCGGTGGCTGCTGGCTGCATATGCCTCTTGCCTGTGTTTTCCTCCTCCCTGCACCCTCTATTTCCTCCACCTCCCTGTAGCTCCCCATCTGGGATAGGAGCTGGCCTCCTCTGCAGTGAGGCAGAGGCCTCGGGGAAGAAGCAAACAGCTGCCCTTTTGCCGTTATCCCCTGGCTAGGGAAAGCTGCTAGTAGTCAGCCTGTTTTGCCTTAGGAAAAAAAAAACAGGGTGCTCAAATAAGAATTAAAAAATTGCATGTCATTTGCACAGATCTGCATATCAGACTAAGTCCTAATTCCAAATATGATAATATTCAAACTCAACCTTGAGGACATTAGAAATATAGATGATTTTGTATCCAAATCTAAAGAGTAATAGGATTACCATTCTGGGTTCATATGTCCCTTCCCCACCCCATCTCTCCTATAGCCCCCCCTTCCTTGAGCCCCACCATGGCTGAGGGTGGTGTTGAACGGCAGAGCTCTGTGCCCAGTGAAGTCTTTCAGCCTCACTTTCTTGGCTTGTCAGCTGCATCAAAGGAAGGCTGTTGTCTCTGGGCAGCCTGTGCCTCCTCTCTCCCCACCCTCTCACAGGCCAGACTACCCCTCCCGCTCCCTGACACTGGCCTGTCCCTCCTTTCTCATTGCCCCTACCTTTCCACCCCCATGCGTGGCTGCTATGGGTCTTGCTTTTAAAACCTCACTGTGGGAGATCCAGGCATCCTCCCTGAGCCAGCTGGCTGCTGTGCCAAGGCCTGTTCAGAGTTAATAATTATCATTAGCTGAACAGTGCTGGGGTTCAGCTCCAGATCTCTAAGCACTTGCAGGCTGAGTCAATCGGCCTCACCTTCCCCCTCTTCCTGGTCTATAGAGTGTAAAAGAATGGGAGGCACTGGGAGACTGGAGGAGGGGTCATAAGTCTCACTTCCCAGCTGTGGCATGAGACTTTTTTCCTTTTTAAGTGGGCTCTAAGAATCCCCTGAGTAAACCAATATGGACTTTTCACCTGAAAAGATCAAGATGTAGAGAACACAGTGTATGCTCTTCTGCATTGACCTTGAACCTGTAGTACTGCCCATCTGTTTACCTGTGGCCTCCAGAGGACAACCCTGGTCCTGAAGCACTGACCTCAGTCCACTGGCCCTCTGTGGGATTAGGGATTAGGGAGGTGTCTGGTTTAGTGCCCCTGCTGCCCCTCCATCTGGGGGGCAGAAAGAGCTGGTATAACATGCAGTGAGGAGTGCATTGCCCGGGAAGCCAGGAAACCTGCAGTCTCTTCCTAACACTGGTGTGGCCGTGGGCAGATCGCCTACTGCTCCACCTACCTCACAAGCCTGTAAGGGTTAAGTGAAAGAATGCATGTTAACAGGCATTGGAAAGTTCACTGTAGTTTAACCAAATGCAAACAGGTGGTATTATGTTCTTGTCCTTTTCTTTCACTCATCCTGGTTTCATGCTTCTTTCAAGGAGGCAATAAACAGTTATGGATAATGCTGGTTAGGGGACCCAAGTCTCAAGAGAGGTTTTGTTGCTGGCAATTATGAGAACACAGACACATTTCCTCCTTCCAGATGCAAGGTCAGTTCTCATCCAGGACTGCCACCAAGGCTATGACTCTGGTGAACCTTGCCCTGCATGCTGCATGCCTGGGGTTTTCAAGTCATGGGGACGAGTACAAATCTGAGGGTGAGTGCAGTTATCCCCCAAGTCCAGCCTGAAGTTTCTGGAGCTGGTCTTAATGTGGAGCTACTGGTCATGCGTCTGTCTAAATCTCTACCACCTAATTCTGCTCTTCTGAGGGAACAGTGGAGCAGATAAGCCAGGAAGGGAGAGGCAACAGTAATGGACACAACACTGCTTTCCCTTACGCTCTGGTTTCCCCTGTGGTCACAGGCTGAGCAGTGCATGCCTCAGGCCTTCATGCAGGGCACTGGGATGCAGAGCTCTGAGCCATGGCCCCCTAGCTTGCCACAGGTTTCCCTTTTCTTGTTTCAGGCTCTTAGAGTAGGATCTGAGAGTCCCCTCCTCCTCAAAGGACTTCATTAGAATTAAAACACATGCACACATGCACACACACTGTGAAAGCTGTTCTGTTTACATTTTGAATTAGGGAAGGGATACTTCCCATTCCATTTTTCTGACAACAGCCAGCAGTCTGCCTGGAGTGGACATAGAAGCAGGAACAACAGCAGTGCAGAGACCTCAGTATTCATTTTTTAAATCTTAATTTCTTTTTTATCTCTCCTGAGATCCAGCAATGAAATGCCAGTCAGGCATTGGGCCTTGCTTCAGCAGTTCTCCCAGCATAGGCACAGAGAAGAAACAGCTGCCAGATGGGAGGAGAGTGCCCTAGAACTGCCTTGGAGGGCAGTTTGAAGTAGACTGTCTCCAGTACTGGGCCAAGCTTAAAGTAGACACAGAGTACCTCCAGTAAGACCACCTTCCCCTTCCCTACTCACCCACCCAGAAGGCTTGGCTAGTCACCACTGCAGGAAATAAGAGTCCCAGTTTTTCATCCACCTGCTATTGTCAGAATTTTCCAGATGATTTTTTAAAACCTCTCTTAAGAGCAGATTAAATAGCTATTTCAGGCTATTCTAGGGTACCAGAGGATTCAACTGTTTCACTGAGTATACATGAGGAGCCCCCAGCACCCTTTAAAGCAGATTCCCAGTTATGTCACAGTGCTTTCTAAGGATGTCCATGTCTGGGTTAGGCCTTTCTGCTTAGACCTAAAGCAAACTACAGCCAAGTGAAGGGAAAATGGGAGGTGAGGGAAAAGCAGGACAAAGTTCTATCCAGCTACACAGTGCTCCCCAACCTGCCTGCATGTTTGCACACACACACACACACACACAAGCATACATACCTCCCCCTAACTTTAGGGTCAGTGACTCTTACCTTGTGCATGCCAGTGCTGTAGAGTGCCTAGAAGTCCCTGGAGTGCTCCATGTCCGGGCTTAAGGAAGGTTGGTTCTCTCAGGACATGGTTTCACACTCTCTCTGATTCTGGGACAATAACCAGGCCGACATAGATTGGGAGGCCTCAGGGCAGATTTAAGTACCTTTACCAATTTATATTTTCCACCTGGGTGTATAAACCTGATGAAGGGGTTCGACATGGCAGCTGCTTTGGCCTTCTCCTCTCAAGCCCCAGGAGAGGAAGCATCCAGCATAGGCTCACTGTAGCCAGACCCCACTGAAGACCTGAGCCCTTCCTGCAATGTTGTGGGTAAGGCGAACCTTCACCAGTGATCTTCTGGGAGACAAGATAAGGGGTACAAGAACTATAGTTGCAGAAAGGGATGGAGTTGAGACTTCCAGTGAAAGAGACCCTAGACTGGCTGATCCACTAAACTCTCTTCTATTCTAAAAGGCATCTGTCATAATAGTCTCCTCCAGTCCCCTGAAATGCCACCTCAGAGGAGCTCAGGAAAGTACTGTAAGAGTGGCAGACAGAATTGCACATCTTGACCAGAATCTAGAAACCTGTGGCTTTGGATGGAGAGAGGGGGAGGGTTAAGAGATGTAGCCATCTTCCTTGGGATGATGGAGAGAGGAGGATGAAAACTTTTTAGTCTCAAAGACAGGGCTTGGCATGGGCCAGAACAGAGGGGAGAGCTCCTAGGAGTCTTCCCAGACCTGTCCTCTACCAGATTCATTCTCTTGGCCAAACTCAGCCATAACAAAAACTGCTTTGAAAAGATGAAAACTGCTATACAAATGTAGACTGGGGGGGCACTCTGGCATCAACATCTGCCATTTCATTGACTGCCAAGGTTGATTTGTCTGGTGTGGCTGGCTGTGAGGTGCCTCTCTCTCTCACCACTTTGGTTGTTCCTCATGAGGAGAAAAAGACAGCTTTCCAGACAGGAAACCTTTGGTTATGATTTTATCAATGTAAGAAATTAGATAATTATTCAAATTCTGATTCTTTTAATTTGTTTTCCCTATACCATTTCCTCTCCCCTTTTGGATCTATCATGATAACCCCCTTCCAGAAGTACCAAGAGAGCAGCCAGAGAACGTGCATGCTCAGAGTTAATAGAACCCAATCTGGTTCTGGGTAGGCTGTGTCTGTACCAAGAAAATGGGGACTGCATTTCTCTGTTCTGTGCAATGCCTAGGACACATTAAATTGTCAATGAATATCAATCTGCCCATTAGATGAATATGCTTTTAGCCAAACTGAGTTACCATTTACATGAAAATATATTGGTAATAATTAAAATACTGTGCAAGTGTCCTGTTCTCCATTTCTTTTAACCTAGTCCAAGGTTTTTCCATAGTTCAGGTAGTAGGCTTAATCTAGACTTTAAGAGAACTCTGCTGAGATGCAACCCTCCTCCCCAGGGATCCAGGAAACCTTCATTATCTACAGGATCTAGCCCAAGTCATGGAATTTGAAAGCTCTCCTGTTAATGTGACATTTCTTTCAAGAATTTGTCCATCAGGTTGGCAAACTATGGTCTGCTGGCCAAAATCAGCCCCCTGCATGGTTTTGTATGGCCTGTGAGCTTATAGGAGTTTTACATTTTTAAATGATTGAAAACACTTGAGACATGTTGAAATGATAAGAAATTCAAATTTCAATGTCCTTAAAGTTTTATTTTAACAGAGCCACAGTCATTCATTTAATGTACTATCTGTGTCTGCCTTCCTGCTACAACAGCATAGCTGAGTAGTTGTAACAAAGATTGTGTGGCCTGCAAACTCTTCAGAGAAGTTTGCTAACCCCTGGTCTACCTTAATGCCTTGTTGTGGATTCTACGTGTGCCCTTACAGCAGCATTTAAATATTCTCTCCTAGACAGGGAACACCCCTCTAAGGTACATTGAAACACACCCACCCCCTACATACAGGAGCTGAAAAGAGAAATAAACCAGTCACAGACTAGGCCAGAACAGAGACTCAAGCCAGGTTTAATGATCATTGTCTAGTTTTCAGAGCCCAGAGGCTCAAAGGTTTGCCAGCCTGGATGTACACAAGCGGGAAGAATAGGGGCCTGGATGGGGGAAGGCCTGCTCACCTTGCCAGCAGGGCTACAGGGAAATACAGAGGCAAGAACACACACAAAACTGGAATCAGTCAGCTTTACTCTCCAGCTGGGGTTTTCCTGGCCCCTCCCTATGAGCCCCATAAATACAGGCAAAGAAAAAAAGATCACACATAATCACATAGACAGATTGTAGAGCCCTGTCATACTCTTTCTCTAGGGACACTTGCTTCCTGGGAGACTGGTTTGAGTGCAGGGTCAGGGGAGGGGGTGGGGTGATCTCTCAGCCTTTCCTTATAACCAGACCTGGCAATTTTCTACAGAGTTCTAGTTGAGCTTACATATGCTGAGTACTCAATTCCCCAAGTAGGTAGCTACCTTTGGGTTCTGTCAACAAACTACGGCAAAAAGCTACTCAGTTCAGTCTCTTGGTGGGACAGCCAGGCACACCTACCAGTCTCTCAGATTAGGGGCCAACCTAGTGGATACAGTAGGGAGACCTAAGGGCCTCAAAGCCTTCTCTTATTCCCTAAACTGGGTGGGACTTACGAAGACAAGGGCCCTTCTAGTCCCCAGGAACTCAGGTAGAATGCGCCAGAAGGATGTCATTTGACATCCACTTTGAAGATTTTCAGAGGCCTAGGTGGTGCCTAGAGGGAAAGCTGCAATATGGAAATGAGATTGTCCCAGGTTCCCTGGAAAGTCTGAGGAGGGAGTCCTGGTTTCTATAGCTCCAATAACAAAATCCTCAGAAGTCTCTGGAATACAACCAACTTTCCCTCCTGCCCCTGTCTTACGAAGGCAGTTAACATACAAGAGTAACTTAGAGCTGCTTGGTCCCTGCCAGTGTCCTGGGTCCAACACTGACCTAGTTCTACATTTATTTCTCATGTATCTTATCTTTAATCCAGGGCTTCTGAGGACTCTGAAGAACCAGCTAGCTCATCATCCCTTCTCCCAAGGTCTTTAACCTGTGGTTCTCCTAACTCCAGCCTTTGCAGAGAAGTTATTCAGTACCATGGAGATGTGGGTGAAGCTTTAAGGAGTTCAAAAATTTAAAGTACAAGAGTTTGTATTTGGGGATCCTGGCATGGTCACTGTCTCTCCTACAGGGCAAGAAAACTGTGCATGAAGTTGTGCACATAGGTGGAAACCATTCTGAAAGTGGACACTGGTGGGGACTAAAGAATCCCTGTCCTGATGGAAGTCAAGGTGCTGGTGTGCATGCATACCTATAAGCATGCATACCTATGAGCATGCAAGTACTTGAGGGAAATGCCACACCTCTCTGCACAAAATTAGATTGCTAATAAAGGATGAACAGCAGTCTTGACATCCCAGGAACAAACAAGGGGAAGATGTTGAGTTCTAATCTCCTTCCCCAATCTTAGTAGGCTCCTCGTAAGCAGCCCTTACCCATACATAAAAGACACCTCTTGGAACCTAAAGAACAAGTCAGGAAACTAGATCTGGAGAACTTCCAGTGGACAGGAAACTTGGTGGGAGAAAGGGGAAAGACTGAAAAGACCAATGTCAGAGATCATTTTCACCTTTGCCCTCCTTATCCCCTTGCCCGAGCTCAGAGCATCCAGGGCCTGCAACATAGGGAAAAGCTGAACGGAGCAGTTATCTTCATCCCCAAAGTATTCTGCAGCCTTGGACGGAATGGGCCTGGGCCTGTTCTTCCAAAGTTTAGTGCCCCTGACTGTCTCTGAAGACTGCCTAGAACCTTGTGAAGAGGGCAGAACTGTAGGCCACACTCCAAACTGCCATTCTGGGGCAGAGACCACCCAGCTTCAACCCCTCAGATGATGAAATCCAGTGCTTTGTCTTTGCTGGGGTGAGATGTATGAGACGTGCAGGGCAGCTTTGTCCACGTAGAGAAGATACCTCCCAGCTCCCCTCCCCCAAGCCCAGTCTAACCCAGCTGGGGCCAGACTTCCCAGGACCCCTTCTATTGCAGAGCAGCGTATTAGGGAAAACTCAGAATCCCACCTAAGCTTGATAAGGAGCCTGAATGAAGAGATGGCATACACAGAAAATCACGTAGGTCCAGCCGGATGCTACATAATAGAGGCTGCTTCACCCTCCTCCTAATGTGAAGTGGCTCTACATCCCACATCTGTGACAGACACCCATACAAGCTCTGCCTTCAGCTCCCATCCTGGTCCTAGTTCCAGGTGCTAGGAATCAAATGCTAACCACGGGTTTTACCAACAGGGAATTAGCCAATCTGGAGTTTAGCCCCTGTTTGCAAGTTATGTGCTGGCACCTATGCTGTGACATGCACCCCTCAGTTCATGCTGTATTCCTGTGCCACTGGTCCCAGGACAAGACACAGATACCACATCTCACATTGTTGCCATATCTGACAGGCAACAGGCCAGGCTCTTGCAAAGATCCACCCACCCAGGGCTCACTGGGAAAGAGGAGGGCATTAGGGGGAAGTCACAGTAGCTTTGGGGAATGTTATCAATTGAGGTCTCAGCCTTTTCCTGACTCATTTTTCCAAAGGTTTCCAATTTCCCCAGCTGTGAAATGTGACTTCCTGGCCCAAGAAGATACTGCAGCTTTTTCCCAATGTGGCTCCTGTGGAAGTTCTCCCCAACACACACTGGTGTGGGTGGGCAGAGATAGAAAAAAAAAACATGATTTTTTTTTTTTCCTCCAAATGATTTTCTCTTAAGGAGCTAGGGATGACCTAGAAAAAGTTTAGGGAATCTGCTTTTCCCCCTCACCCCTTCTTCATTCAGACATGCTCCTCTTCCTCCATCACACGGAGAACTGCCAGGGCTTTGGCAAGAGTGCAGCATTTGCCTGAGGATTGATATACCCCTATTTGAAAGTCGCGGCAGCCACACCATTTAGGGTCTTGCCTACTGTACCTATGACCAATTCCCTTGAGGTCAGGGGAACCCACTCCCTTGAGTAGCCAGGCCTCTCTTCCATCCCCTCATATCCTTCAGGGGTGCATTACCTCTCCTGGGGTAGAACATCCCCACCAACCCATCCTGCTCACACCACAATAGGCGTATCAGAGAAGACCGAGCTGACCGATTCTGGATCTGACATCCTCCGCTGGCCCTTGCCTGTCGCCTCGGGCACCGGCAGAGTGTTGCCTGGCTTGAGCTTGCCGTTTTGACCTTGCCCGGGTCCCACAGGTTCCAGGAAGGCCACCCTCCTGTCAAAACCATCATCCTTGTCCCCACCAGCCATAGGGTCGTGGTTGGGTGTGGTACTAAGCATGGAAGAGCTGAGGCTGTCTCCTTGATGGCTGGAAGGCTTCTCGACACCCCGGCACCAGCAGCGGCAAGGGGTGAGATACAGGTATATGAGAACAAGGACCACACTGAGGATACAGCCCACTAGGGTGGTATAGGCTGTGTTGAGGGTGTCATGGTGCCCGTGCAAGGTGAAATTATACACTTTCAACTCCACAGACAGTGTCTCATTGAAAGCCTCCCCCATGGCATAGCAGGTATACACACCACCATCCTCAAGCTGCACACGCTGGAAATAAAGACTGCCATCCTTGGACACTGTCACTGTGCTGTTGGCCACTTTATCTAGCACCCGTTCATTGCTCGGTGTCATCCACACCTTGGTCATCCCCTGTTGCTTGGTGTCACACTTAATGGTCAAGGTTTCACCCAGGTGGGCCTCCCAGGCATGCTCCTTGTACTCACTGCAATTGAGGAAACTCAGGTTGAAGACATTGTGCAGCTTCTTGGAGCTCATGCAGTACAAGTCCTCCTGAAAGTCCTTCACGGAGCTCAGCTGCCGGTACTGCCAGTGTGAAAAGAGCCGATAGAGCTCACAGTCACAGTGCAGTGGATTGTTATGTAGGTACAGACCATTCTTGATCCATGCAGGCAGCTTCTGCAGGTCTGGCAATGGTAAGTTCTTTAGTTTGTTGGAGGAGAGATCCAGAAGTGTTAGTTTAGGTAGCTTGGCTCCTTCCTTGACCAGTTCTAAGGGGAAGCGGGAGATCTGGTTCTGGCTCAAGTAGAGCTTCTGCAGCTGGGCCATGTCATCGAAGGCGCAGCGGTCCACGGCCACAATGCGGTTGTTGTAGAGCAGCAACACCTCCAGTGCCTGCAGCTCGCTGAACAGGAACTCATCCAGTGTGCGCAGCTGGTTGGAGGAGAGGTCCAGGTAGCGCAGGTTGGGTACCGGGGAAAAGGCCTCCGAGGAGATGAAGTTCAGGTGGTTGTGGCTCAGCAGCAGGGAGTGCAGTTGGGTGAGGCGTGTTGGGGTCCACTCGGCCCGCAGGCGGCTCAGGTTGTTGTGGCTGAGATCTAACAGTGCGGTGTAGCTGGGCAAGGAGTGGGGCACATTGGGCAGCTGCTGCTTGGAGCAACTAAGGATATTGCTGGCGCACAGGCAGGCGGCAGGACAGCTAACCACGGGTCGGCCAGCTCTGGCCATCTCAAAGAGGAGCAGGAGCAAGGACAGCAGCAGGAGCCAAAGGCGTCGCAGGTCACGCTGGGGTTGCATAGTGTCACTAGGGAAGGCAAGGAAGGCCACAGGAAGATCTGGGAGGGAGTCACCCGGGCATATTCTGGTGGGTAAGGAAGGGTCACTTTTACTACAGGCTTACCAGAGAGGATAGGTCTGTAGCCACCAGGGCCTCAAGAGGGGAAGGACGACTCTTCCCCTCCACCCCAAACCCTCACTGGGCTAGAAGAGAAAGGCACAGATGCTGGGTAGTTTCCAAGCACTGTGCTCAAAATACTGGGGCAGAGGAGGAAGTGGGTACAAGGACATACTGGGCTGGGGTCACACGAGTGTAGGAGAAGGGCACGCCCCGTATGTATGGGACTGTTGGTTTCGCAGGGCTTGCACGGGCCGGGTTTGGAGGCAGAGCCTCTGGGGAGGAGCTGAGGGAAAGTCAACAGGGCACGACCTGGGCAAGGCACGTCCTGACGGGGTTGATGGTCCCCAGGCCTGTCGGGGAGGGTCCCCTCGGGACCTCTGGTCACTGCACCTGCTCGGCGAAGACGTGTCTCAGCCCATGGCGGGTCCGGGAGCTCCGTCGCGGCCTCTCCTGGCGGCGTCTCACCGGCCGGCCTGTCGCGGCGCCCGACTTACGTAGGGGCCCGGGCCCGGCAACATCGCCTCCAGAGGACTTGCGGGGCTCGGGTCGCTCCCCCGCGCCGCCGCCTCGACCGCTGCGCCCGCCGGAGCCCACCGGCCGCCGGCACCGCCTCCAGGTCCGGGTCGGCGTGGAGCAGTGCGGGAAGCGGTAAACGCGGCGATCAGAGCAGAGGGAGCGGCGTGGGGGCAGCGAACACCGCGCGCGCGCCCGTCGCCGTCGCCGGAGCCTCGGGGCGCGTGCGCGCGGCGGGGGCGGGGCGCACGTGCGTGTGTTTGTGTCTGAGCCGGACCCGCGGCCGCGCGCCGGGACCTGTGACGACAACTGGCGCAAGGGGAACTCTAGTCTCTTAGCTCCTCTTTTATTTCCTCCACCTTCTTCCATTCCCTTAACCCCACCCTCCACCTTCTACCTACCAAAACCGCTCCCAGGAAAAGTAGGTCTAATTGAAGTGAATTCGCTGCAACCGGCTCTGGAGCAAGAAGCGTCACGTGTCTTTTAATTTAGCAAATTAAAGAAATCTGGCTCAGCTCCCGCCTGTCATCGTTGGCGGGAAATTCATTAGTCACATTCTGAGCTTCCCCTTCCCCTCTCTCTAGGGCTGTGAAGTCCCAAAATTTTGGGGAAAGATTGGGGGGAGAGCTTTCTTCCTTCTGTTTTTCGGTCTTGATGCTACTATTCCATGACCACTGAAGGGTACAGCTCCACAGCCGGCAAACCAGATGGGCAGCAGTGGGGGTAAGGCGGGATCTTTGGAGCATGGCCAGGACCCAGGATCCCACTTCCTCAGACACCCCATAAGGCAATTCCTACTTTACCCCGACGCCCCCAACCAGGCTCCCCTGCCCCCCTTCCGACACGCACGCACGCACACACACACACACACACACGCACGCACACGCGCACGCATGCACAGACACACAGGGAGGGACTGCATGCAAACCAGGGTCAGGTTTCCATTTCCTTTCATTCTTCCATTGGGAAGGAAATTCCAAAACCCTTTCCAGCCTGGAGGAAGTCATTTATTCCTTAGGCCTGGGCCCTTGCCCTCGTTCTAAACCAGTACCAGCTCTTTCCCTTGCCCTTATGGAGCAATTCCAGCATATTACCTAATTCTCTATTACCTAATCCTCAAGATAAAGTGGGGGTGGGAGTGAGGAGTCATCTTCTTTAGGGTGGTCCTTGAAACACCAAGACGCTGTTGACCCATGTGTTTTGTTGGGTGTTGGGCAAAGGGGGAGGAGGTTGTAAGAGGAGCCTAGATCTTATAATTCAAGACTTTAGCTATTCTTGGGATGGTAGACCCTGAGGGAGAAATTACTTTTTTATTCTTTCTAGTCTTTTAAACATCAAGAATAAGGCTGAAATTAATGTCTCAATAGGTTAGCCTGCTAAGAGTTTTAAAAAGAAATGATTTATATCTATCACATACGTTTTACCATGAATTTAAGTGAATGTATTCTCTCTTCAAAGGGGTATTAGCATGTTAACTTTATGCACAGTGTGGAAAGGTCTTTTCCTATTCATGTCGGGCATCAGTGAGAAGGTGGGGAGAGTATTCAGGGAGCGGGAAATCCTGAAATTGTATCAGTTCTCTGTTGCTGCATAATAAATACCCCAAAACTCAGTGGCTTAATAAAACAACATACATTTTTGTCTTCCTCAGTTTCTGTTGATCAGAAATTGAGGCGTGGCTTGATTGGCAGTTCTGGCTTGGAGGTCTCTCACACAGTTGCCGTCATCAGTCAGTGGAGCTCCAGTCACTGGAAGGCTTGACTGGAGGCCAGAGAATCAACCTCCACAGAGGCTCATGCTCATGTACATGGTTCACATATATGGCTGACTATTGATAGTAGGCCTTGGCTTCTCTCCATAAAGACCTTTCCACAAGACTGGTTGAGTGTCCTCACAGCATGGTAGCTGACTTCTCTTAGAGCAAAAGATCCAAGAGAGAGCAAGGCAGACATCACAATGATCTAGCTTTCCCAGGTCCCAAGTGTCACCTCCACTTTGCTCACATGGACTAGCTCTATGGAAGGATTTATGACTATACAGTCATGAATACCAGGAGGAGAGGAGCATTAGGGTCATTTTGGAGACTGGCTATCTCACAGACATCATCTCTGAAATTGCATCTATTTTTTAATTTTGAAACATTGCAAACATATACAAAAGAAGAGAAAATAGTACAATAAACTCTCCCTATATCCAACAACCATATTCAATAATTATCAAGGAAATTCCATCATTTTATTTCATGTAGGTATTCCTGAGGAACACATTCTCTTCCCTCCCCCCACCCCCACCCCCATATCCTTTCTGCTATATTTAAAGGACGGAGGAAAGACAGATTAAAAAAAGAAGGCCCCTTATTCATGGGACACCAGTTTCTAATGTGGTTGTCTGTAATTTGGAGAAGTCACCGTAGATATGGTGCTCAGTCCATCCCTTTTTTTTCCAGCTCATCACACCATTTTCAAATTTTAATATGCACATAGATCACCCGGGGATCTTGTTAACATGCAGATTCTGAAGCAGTAGGTCTAGCTGGGGCCTGAGATTCGAACTTTCTAACAAGCTTAATAAGGTGTTGCAGACCCTGCTGGTCCACAGACCACTGTTTGAATAGCAAGGGTTTAGAGCTGTGCTGTCCAAATTGGTAGCCACTAGCTACATGTGGCTATTTAAATTAATTAAAATTAAATAACATAAATCACTTCCTCAATTTCCCTGCCACATTGCAAATGTTCAATACCGACATGTGGCTAGCTACCCCCACGAATATAATCATGGAAATTTCCATTGACTCAAGGTAATTCTCCCACAGTTACTTTCTAGACCAGGGCAGCTATCCATTAATTCATAACAAAAAGAGGACCTTGGCAGGATAAATAGCAACTGGTTATTTGGTTATTTGTAATGGGTATTTATTTCCTCTTGCTCAACTGGACCAATCCAGTGTTCCTAAACACAATCTGGAATGCTTTTTGGTCAGTTCAGCATTTGTGCAAAAGAAGGTGGATATGTCTTCCAGGTTATGAGAAAGGATGAACTGCTTTTCTCTATACTAGAAGTATTTTATTCTTTCTCAATAACTAGTACTGGGCATTAAAATCAGAGTTGGAGAATACTGGAGGAAGACACCCTATGAAGAACCTACCTTTTGCCTCCTTTTTAAAGACTCCATGAGGCTGGCCACCCTTCAATAGGACAATGTAGTCTAATTTGCTGGGCACACATAGGTATTCCTTTCTGTGATTCCATTTAACACTCTATATATGTCCTTTTGAACTTTTCATCTTCTATTTTGTCTGTTTATGTATCTGCTTCCCCATTAGACTGTACGCTCCTTGAGAGCAGGGATTTGCCCAGGATCTTGCTCTTAATAGGCATTCCAAATATGTTTGTTGAATTAATTCATTAATTAATCATTGCATTAAATCAGCATATTTATTATATGTTAGTTTCTTTACCTGGTGTAGGAGTAAGGGTGGAGCATAGGGTTTGGACCTGGACAAGTCACAGCTATATACTGGCTATGTAACTTGGGGTATTTCACATTGTTCCACTAAATCCCATTCATTACCTGTACAAATGGGAACAATAATAGCACCTGAGTTTACTTCATAGGATTATTTGGGGTATCAAATGAGCTAACAGTTGTAAATGTGCTTTATCATTTATAAGTGTTACCTTTTTAATTTATCTAGTTTTCTCCATGAGAGTTAGGAGATCCTTTGTGTGATATAGTGAGTCATAAGAAATACGTATTTCCTGTGTATATTTGGCCTTCATCCACAGTTCCTGAAAACACTGCAGAGTCTTAAAGGTGAAATGGGTTTCTTGTCATGTTAATGAGAGACTTTTGGACCCCATCCAAGGGACAGGGGTTGGAGAATGAATCAGCCAATGATCAATAATTTAGTCAATCATGACTATGCACTGAAGCCCTCACAAAACTCTTGAGGAGAGCTCATCTCTCTGCCTCTCTTTCTCTCAGATCATGCTTCTGTGTCTGAGAGAGCTTCCAAACTGGAGGAACCAGAATGCCTCCAGGTGCCCCCAAGCCAGACTTTAAGCTCCACAAGGATAGAAGCTCCTTTATTTGGGACCTTGCCCTGTTTATATCTTCATCTGGCTATTAACTTGTATCCTTTATGGAATCCTTTATAAAACTGGTAAACGTAAGTGTTTTCCAGTGTGTTCTACTAGCCGCTCTAGCAAATTAATTGAGCCCAAGGGGGAGGTTGTGGGAACCTCCAGTTTGTAGGCAGTAGGTCAGAAGCACAGGAAATGTCATGGTACGTTGCATTGGAAAAAACACTGAACAAGGATGAAGGCCATGGCCCACTGCTACTTCCCCACATTCATAGAGTGCCTGGTTAGATACATGAACCCATTAAATCCTCACAATAACCCCATTAGGTAGGTATTCTTATTACACTCACTTCACAAGTTAAGGAACTGAAGTCATATAGTGAATGCAGAGCCAGGATTTGTTTCCAAGAAGACTGGCTCCAGAGACTATGCTCTTAGCCACAAAGCTACATTCCAGGTTAACTCAGCTCTGCCAGGAGCCAGCTTGTGGATGTAACTGCTAAGTATCTTCCAGCACTGGTAGTCTAAACCTTTCTCATTATAGGTATGGGCCAGACCAGCTAACATTACGATTAGCCTGAAAATCAGCTAAGGACAGTAAAAATGGTTGAAGAAAAGATACTCCAAACAAAAACAAATAGGTAAGGACTCAAAAAGTATGATTAGAGGAAGAAGATCTATTAAGCCGAAGAGTTAGCCAAATGGCCTTAGTTAAGGGAGAAAAATCCTTAACTAGGAGCTTAACATTTAGTTTGACTATAATCCCCAAATCATAAAAGGACTGATTTCCTAAACTGGATTATTAGCTTTCCAAATACAATACAAACTAGTTAAGGATTCATATGATAGGAATTAGCAGAGAAGCCTCACATTAGTTAGAATTTAATTTTAGATAAAAAGCCATTAGAAATAAAAGGAGAGGGTTGCAT